CCCCTAAACCCCCAAACCTCTAAACTCCTAAACCCCCAAACCTCTAAACTCCTAAACCCCTAAACCCCAAATAAACCCCGAAATCCCTAAACCCCCAATAAACCTCGAAATCCCTAAACCCCCCAAAAAACCCCTAAACCCCCAACTAAACCCCTAAACCCCCCTAAACCCGAAACCGTTGAGTCTCTGGCCTCGCAGGGAGCTCTGGACTCGATCGCTCGGTAGCTGCTCGCGGATCCTGCCGAGAAGGCCGTAGCTGCGATGCCTGGCTACAGGTTTAGGGGTTTAGGGGCTGAGGGTTTAGGGGTTTAGGGTTTAGGGGTTTAGGCTTGAGCGGTTTAGGGGTTTAGGGTTTAGAGGCTTTGGGGTTTAGGGGTTTAGAATTTAGGGGTAATATTGGGCTGATCTTAGTAGGGCTTTTAAAGTTCAGGGTTTAGCTGAGGCTGCAGGGCCTTCCCAGCATCTCGAAGATAAGAACCCAAGACAAATCCCCCAAGACCCAGTCGAAACATTCCTTGCCTGCAGTGTCAGAGTGTGATCCCGAAGCAGGCCCCAAACCCTGAACCCTAAACCCTGAACCCTAAACCCTTGAAGCCTTGAGCCTGAACCCTACACCCCAAGCCCTAAATCCAAACCCAGGTTTTGTGGATTGGCGTTTAGGGTTGCGGGCTTGCGCGGCTCAGGGCCTAGAGCTCGCTATTGACGAATGAGGGTGAAGGGGTGCGGGTTGTTGGGGCTTTAGGGTTTAGGGTGTAGGTTTTGAGTTGCGGGTCTAGGGTTGAGGATGTAGGTTTGGAGGTTTTGCAGTTGAAGGCCCACCAGGGGCTGGGTAGTAGCTGCGCAGGTAGGGCTAGAGCGTACATGGAGGTTCTTGATCTGTAGGACCACCTCGACAGGAACCTGAAACAAGACACCTTCAAGTCAAGACCTCCAGCATTGAAAGGCCCTGGCCCCAAACCTAGCTCGAAACATCACAAGATTTAGGCCCAGAAGCCCTGAACCCCTAGACTCCTCCTGATTTGGCTCCCTTGTCCATGTGCTGCAGACAGTGGCCTTGGCATTTAAGCTAAGAGTTTTTGAGGATTTCTTACAATAGCATCCTGTGATTTACCCCAAAGCCTTCAACTTCTCCCCCGAGACCCAGATTCCCTGAATTGGTCCCTGCCGGCAGCGTTGTGGTGCCTGGATAGAACCGCCCTGGCCTTGGCAGGCGGTTTAGGGTGGCTGAGAGAGGAGGTCGAAATGGAAGATGATGAAGGCGGGATCATGCACCGGAGAGCTGCGTTGCAGCAGGGCATTTGTAGCAGCCGGATGCCCAGCAAGCCACATTTCGTTTCCGTGCCATGTGCTGCCGCTGCAGAAGCCGACTTTAGCAGCATGCCTTCTTCGCTCAGCGCAGCCTCTTGTGTTGCTTTACAGACGTTGAGTGTTAGGATTGCAACTGTGGCCCTCTTCTTTGCGTAGGATGGGCTCTGCTCTGTCCGTGGATGATGGTCGAACGCCTGTCCTGGAGGAGGACGAGGAGCAGGAGAGGAAAATTTGGGAAAGCTTCCTGCCCACGATCTGGCAAGATGGACAAGCTGCGGATGTTTTTTCGAGCAGTGTTCACGAACCTTCTCTGCCGGCAGCAACTGATCCCGAAGGCGGAGCTTCAGAATCATGGGTGAGCACTGGCAGCAGCGTTCCTGATTTTTCTCGACAGCCCGTAGCATCACAGTCCGTGGCACCTGCTCCAAAAGAAACAGCTGCAGAGACACGGTTGAGCACTTGCAGCAACCCTCATTCTCCCCGACCGCCAGCATCAGAGTCCGTGGCACCTGTTCCAAAAGGAGCCGCAGAGACATGGTTGAGCACTGGCAGCAACGTTCCTGATTCTTCCCGACAGCCGGCAGCATCACAGTCCGCAGCAACGGCTCCAAAGGGGAGTGTTGCAGCAGCACCCCAAAAGAGTCCAGGACCTTCCATGGTCGGTGGCAAAAACGCTTCATCTTCAGCCTCGGGAGGTCAGCCAAAGGGGCTCCGAGACCGGATAGCCTTTCCTGCCTTTGATGAGATACCTGATGAAGACGACATCGATCATAAGCACTACCTTGTCAACGTCGACCAGATGGTATTAGCGTGCAGGCACTGGTGCCTACTTGGCCAGATTGACGACGCTTACTTTTCTATCGGCAGGTTGCGGATGGTTGCACAGGATCGGACCGGCCGTGACTTCAAGGTGCATGTTCACATTGAAGAACACACGTCCACCCTCAGGCTTTTGGATATAAAGAAAGGCAACGTGATCGCACTCATGAACCCAGAGGCACATCGTTTCTTAGACTTTACAACTGGCATCAAGCTGAAAGCGCCCGACTCAGCCTTTGTTTTTCGTTCGTCCTTGACGCGTTTAGTGGAGGAAGGTCGAAAGATCTTGAAATTGCAGTTCTGCTTTCAATGCGGCAACCCGGCGAGGGAGAGTTGCAACAGATGCAGTGTTGCCCAGTACTGCAGCCCAACCTGTCAGCACAAGCATTGGCAAGGAGGTCACAAAGAGCTATGTTCTCAGATGCTCGTGCTTAGGAATCTGCTGGATGCGGACCTTTCTGTCCCGCCACATCAGCAATACCACTCTTTCCGCTCTTTGGCATCCACTCGCAGCAGTGAGGGTGAAGTTTGCTTGGGAGACTTGCCTCGGCCATGCTGCTGCGGCTTCCAGGACAAAGAGCTAAGCAACAGCGAAGAATGCCTTGCGACAGGGTTGGGCAACCACCTGGACTATCCTCCCGCCTCCTGCCTTCCACAGAGCGAAGATCCCAGTCAGCAGTTCTACTACGCGGCTGATGGAGTGCCTCAGCGCCACTGGGCAATCATTGCTGAGGTGGATGATGTTGCTCAGGATAGACTGCTTGTAGAAACGCGGTTTGGCGAGCAGGTGCATGTGATAGCCAGTTCTGAGTCTGGATGGGACAAGTGCAGGTGGAGACCCGGCCACTGCCTTATTGCATTCTACGCTGCTCGTACTGGGAGGCTGCAGAAGGGTGTGGTAGAAGTTGTTGTTGCCGAGAAGCACGCGTTGCAAATCCGCACTGAGACTGGACTTTCAGGCTTGCTCAATGCAGAAGCAGGGGTCCTTGCGGAGCTTCCAACACGTGAGCCAGACGCCAACGACACCTGCAGGAAACTTCGGGTTTGGCGAGAAGTGATCTCCAAGAACGAGAAGATGCAAAGCCTTCCTGATGAAGATGTACGGCTGTTGAAGTATTTAACCTACCTTCAATTCATGGGCTGCTTCAGGCGGTTTGAAGGAGGAGAAGGAGTGCATGGCAGGTGGGATGTTTCTTACCTGGCTAAGAAAGCCAGAGCTGCTTCTGACGTGATGTTCATGGTGAGCGGCTCTGATCTCATTCTCGGTGCAACCCCTCTCGCGGCAGACGCAGCGTGCGAAGCTCCGAGCAAGAACCAGCCAGTGCCACCACAGGCCCCCGTTGTCATTGAGACAACAGGGGCTGGCAAATCCAACGGCCGCAAATACACAAAACCCGAGGCCTTTGCCGATGTTCGAGCACTCATCGCCCAGCACCCTGGAGGACTTCCTGGCAGCAAGCTCCAAGAAGCCTTCCAGGCATGTCATGGTCATCAGCTGAGGCCCAAAGCTCTGGGCTTCAACTCGTGGCGAAAGCTCCTTGATGCTTGCCCCGGCATCAAAGTCCTCGGGGGAGCAGGGCAAGATATGCTCGTCTGCCTGAAGGACTCAGTGCCCTCAAGTCCTGGCCCACTTGCAGATGTTCAGCTAGATGTAAAGCATGACTTTGGTCCTTTGCGTCTTAAGCCGAGTGCCATTGGCTTTACACATGACAGCATCAATCAGCGGTTTCAAGATGGACGGCTAGTGAGGGAGACATTGCGTCAGCTGCGCGACAAGGAGATCGAGCCTAGCATCATTCCTGTGATCCAGGTTTGTCACCATGCTGCGAACATGTACAGCAGTCGCTTTTGGACGTACACTGGCAACCGTCGGCTTTGGGTTTTCAGGCAACTGGAAGATGAGGGCTTGATACAGGAGATTGATGTCTTGTTCGTGGATAAGACGGTGCCTAGCTTTCGCATGACAACCAAGAATGGTGGCAAATCGCTGCGACTTCGCGGAAAGTAGGTGCAAGCAATAGTAGACCACGCAGCAGCAGTTTCCGCACTAGATGCGAGATATGCCTCAAGCGATACTGGTAACAGTTGAAAGAAGAGCACATGTTTCGTTTCGAGCTGAAGGGCCTGGGTTTTTAGGCTTTAGGGATATGGGGTTGGGTAATACGGTTCAGAATCTAAGAAGGTCATGCCGACATGATTTGCTTCCTTTTTGAGTTGTACTGCCTGTGCCGGCATGGTATTTGATTTGCATTGGGAGTCACGGAGTGACTTCCAGCATTTCTGCTCGGAGTGTTTAACTATGAGCTCGGATGCGGTTTGGCACTGAGTTCCTGTTTTGTACAATTCCCTGAACAGTACAACTCCCTCAAGGGCTTCCCTCCATGCATGTTTTGGTCTCTACACTTTCAAAGACTGCATAACCCAGATGCAAAGGAACGATCCAATGTCCCTTAAGAAGCCAGATAGACGCAAGATGCACACGACCGCTATTTGGTTGTATTACTCTATGGTTAATACAGAAGCCAGAATCATTACCTTACTATTTTGGGGGGCGCCTTTAGTCTGTCCGGTAATGACTTTGGATTTTCCATGCTGACTCCTGAGCCCACTCCTGTCGACGTATCTTCTTTAGGCATGGGGTTGATGAGGTACGTGTATTTTTTGGGTGTTAAACCCTAAACCCTAAACCACTGGAAGGGCAGTGTGAGTGAGGACACTTCCTGCTGTAACTGCAGGTTTCTTTCACTGCTTTGTGGAGATTCGAGTCATGCAAGCGGCAAAAGCTTCGAAATCTAACCCCAGCAGAACTCATGATTACTATTCGTTTTGGCACTGCAACCATCAAAAACATAATTATTGCGATGATTGTTGCCATAATCATTATTGCGATCATTATTGCTGTTATCCTTATCACTTTGGTTATGGAAGCTGTAGGGTTTGTGACTGATGCGACCACGGAGCCCGAAAGGCCTCAAAAGAGAACTCAACTGATCCCTGAGGCTTCTGCAGCCCCCACGCGGCACCCCTAAACCCTAGACTCTAAACCCTAAACCCCGGCTTTCCCAAACCCGAAATCCTTGTCAACAGAGCTTCCACTCATCTTCGGGGTCGCGAGACGGGACTGCTTAAAGGGTGCGTGCAAGAAAAGGTCTTCCGTAGGGGCTTGTGCATAAGAGGATCTGTCTGAGTTCTATGCAAGACGTTGGGCGACACTTACTTTACTTACTTTGGAGACCATCCGCGAGACGCTTCGCAAGTTTGAAGACTGCTGAAATATTGCTCGTTGTGGCGTGATCGCTCTTAAACTTAGTCTCATAGTCGTCCAGGCTGTCATTCTGATTGTAAATGTAACTGGTACTTGCTACTTCCAATGTTGCTGCTCTTCGTATTCTTAATGACTTAATGGCTGATGATTGTCATTTCAACGCTCGTCGTTGCTGCTATTATGCTTGTCTTATCGCGATTGGTGCTACTATCATTCTTAGTCCTATGATTATTGCCTTTAGTGTTGTTGTTGAGTCCGGGTGGTGACGGGTGAAGTCCAACATCCTGATCTCAAGGGTTGAGGGCTTTGCAGGGTTTTCTGGTGGGCTTTTGTGACTTCTAGCACCAGTTAGGGTCTTTCCTGTGAGCATGTCGCTCCGAAAGAGCAACTATGGTCGAGAGCTGTCCTGTCAACGGCCGAGGGCCGACAGCCTTCCTTTGAAGACACAGCAAACGCCCAGCTCTTGCATCGAATCGTCGGCTCTGTTGCAGCTTGGCTGGAGGTCCAGGCACTGGCTCGGCGCATCGATCGAGCTTCTCCTCGTGGCCTTGATGCGGCTGTTGATCTGGATCCGGAATGAGGCAGCGCTTCGTGACTGGGTCGAGTTGAAGAAGTCGAAGTCGGCTTTGTTGTGCGAGCACCCATGCTCCTGAAAATCTGTTTCTGTTTGGAGAACCCAGCATCCTCAAACCTAGCATGCACCACCTCATCGTAGGTGTATAGCATGGAAACTGGATGCCGCCTGCGCAGCTGTTTCATGGATGCACACAAAGAAAGACCAGAGGAAAACCCCTGACCCTTCTATGCAAAGCCTGAACAGAGACCTTGCGAGCCAAGAGCCCCCAGGCAAAGAGCTGGGGAATCTTTGAGGTTGCATGTGGGTGGTTGTCAAAATTATGGTCCCTTTTGGGGTACCCTAAATAACAGACCGCTTCGATAGAGGGGT